CTAAATTCTATATTTTTTTGTTTTTACATTTTATAATTATTATTCTTTTTTTGGTGCATGTTGTGATATAATATCAGCGGATCTTATATGGACATTTTTATTCCCAAATAAAAGTTTACGAAGAGGTAGACCAAAAATAATGATATCTCATCTCACTTGGAGTCCTTGTCCAACTCCTCACGTCCTTTTATTGATCAATTTAACCTCAAATAAACAAAAACTATAAATATTTTGCAGCATTGTTTTGTTAGGATTTGGATCTTAAATATAACTCTCATAAAACCATAAAAAAAATGTGAGAATTTGATGCGCCTTTTTGGGAATATTTCCGGCATGAAAGACCGTTGGAAATGTTTGAGTCTTTGTGTTTTAAGAACAGAAATAGAAGAAGTTATAATCATGTTGTACACACGTACGTTACTGACATATGAACTAGTTATTCAGTTTCAGAACCCTGAATGAATTGAACCTGGACACAGCCAATTATGCAAGCTTTAGTAGATGAGACCAAAATGAAGAAAAAATCAAACATTTTTGGTGTCCGTCCACTAGAGGATTTTGAATGGTGCTAATCTTGTTAGTGGGGGTTTAGGAGTTAAGGATCAAATCCTTCTATTTTACAGACAAATTCAATAAATCATCTTGGACCAGTCTTTTGGAACTTTAAACCCAATAATACAAAAATTTGGATATTGTAGGTACAACAAATCTTTCCGACATAGGAATTTAGAAAAGAAAGCAAATTTCAGCTTCAACAATTACTTAAAAAAATAATGGGCCCATTTACACAATTCGGCCCAATAAAATGCGTGGTTCAAAAAGGCATCAGAAGAACAAAGGCGGGAGCTACGACGAAGAGATTGATTCGCCAAGCACGATTGAATCTAAAGTCCTCTGCCAAATTTCGTTTCCGATTTCCTTGTGTGACCTAACAATGCCTACCAACGCCGCCGGGGCGAGTTTATCTTCTTACAAGTATTTTGTAACCACCGGGACGGTGAAATTCGAAAGCCTTGAATCTGCTGCGTATGAGATTCCTCGGAAGAGAAAGTCGAGATCAGATTCAGCGGCGGCGGTGAATCTTATGTCTGGAAATTCTCTCTCTTCGCCGAAGAAATTGAAATCTCATCGACCTTGTTTTGTTTCTAATCCCAGAATATCAGTAAAGGTGCATAAGTTCAATATTAGAAAAACCACTCGATCTGCATCAGATTGTTTTTGATGAATTATTCCGCCATTGTTGGATCTGAGTTGTTATCTATTTGCAGGAAGTTATGGAAATTTTGAGAGATCCAGTGAATTTGGTAGTGCAGAAGTTATCTGATTGTTTAGGCTCTAAATCTAACTGGAATCCTAGAGGTAAACAAACATGATCCATTAGATTCTTCAATAGTCTACTTATTCTATTGTTTTTTATGTCAATCATATGTGATGATATTATTTCAATGTATAGATGAGGAGCAAATGAGAGCTGTGAAAGAGGCATTGCACGTGTCCAAAGCACCATCAACAATTGTTTGCCGCGAGGACGAACACATTCGCATTTTCGGCTTTGTGAAAGGCTGCATAGATCAGCAAAAGGCTGGGAGTTTGTACATATGTGGTTGTCCTGGAACTGGAAAATCACTCTCTATGGAGAAAGTAGTACAACAAGTTGGTGATTGGTCAACGCAGGTATCGATTTTGTTGTTTTACAATAACTTGTAAGTTTGTAAGCAATGTCATCGACGGAAAGATTGAACATTGGTGAATTTTATCAGGCAGGTTTGCCCCCCGTGGATACATTGTCTGTGAATTGCACGTCGCTGACTAAAACAACAGATATTTTCAGCAAGGTATAACTATAGACCTTAAAGTTCTTGATTTCAGTTTAATATTGATGCTTCTAGGCTTATTTTGTTGTTAGATACTTGGTGAAATCAAGCCTGGCAAGAATGCTAACACCAATTCTTCACCTCTACAACATCTTCAAAGTTTGTTTTCTCAAAAACAAGCATCGTCCAGCTCGAGAATGATGTACGGTTGTTGTGCTTTGATTACATAACAAGATTTCTGAAAAAAGCAGTGTTATTCTTATTCAAACTCTTTTCCAGGTTAATAATAGCAGATGAGATGGATTACTTGATCACTAAAAACCGAGGAGTCCTGTATGATCTTTTTCTGCTTACAACTTTGCCATTTTCAAGGTGTATACTTATAGGTACTGTCTTTTACGGTCACAGCTACGATTTATGTGTTCATTTCCTCTGTTCATATGCAATTGTGACTTACTCTGTCGTTTTCTATTTCCAGGTGTAGCAAATGCAATAGACCTTGCAGATCGTTTCCTTCCAAAATTGAAGTCCCTTACTTGTGAGAATTTCTTAATTTTGTAATTTTTAAACAGTCTTCCATGTGAACTGAAAGTCTCAACTTTGAAAACGTAGTGTTGGATTCACTCATCAACTGTTGTTTCTACTATTTCTTGTGCAGGCAAACCTATGGTTATAACTTTCCGTGCTTATTCTAAAGATCAGATCCTTAGGATACTTCAGGAGAGGCTTATGGTAATTCATTCTACCTTGTTGCCTGCTAAGATGTCTTGTTTGAGACAGAAAAATCTGTAAACTAAAAGATATTCTATGTTGTTGCTATATATGTCTCACTTACTTTAAGCTCTGTTCTGACAGGTTCTTTCATATGTTGCATTTCAACCAAAAGCCTTGGAGCTCTGTGCCAGAGTAAGAATCCATATCCTTGCTAGTCTGATATTTTCTCTCGGTCATGAGTCAATCTTACTTTCCTCTACATATCAATTGTTGATGTTTATTTTATTTGCACTGCGCCAGAAAGTTGCTGCAGCATCAGGTGACATGAGAAAAGCACTATGTGTCTGCAGGTGAGTTCAACATTTTTTCCTCACAGAGTTTGTTCTTTTTACTTGAAACGTGAGTAAGATAGTGCTTGGGATTCATATGTCGTAACGTTATATAGTGGTTGCTAACTAAAGGTCATACTCTCAGACGTTATATAGTGAATAGAAATCTTACATTCTCCTTTGATCCATATTTTCAGAAGTGCTCTAGAAATCTTAGAAATGGAAGTAAGAAGATCAGCTGGTCCAGAATCACAAGGTCCTACTACAGATGATTCAGTGGTTAGTATTTGGACATTTTCCTCTGATACGAATCTGATATGAATATCAAGGATTCTTATAGACCTTGGTCTTCCTGTCCTTAATGTTGCAGGTTAGGATGGATCATATGGCTGCTGCATTATCCAAGACATTTAAATCTCCTGTAGTTGAGACAATTCAGTCTCTTCCTCAACACCAACAAGTACGTTGCATCCACATAGAGTCATCTAAAAAAATCACATACATGTTATAAAACGTTTATGCTTAAGCAAGAGTGGTTTTATAGAATCTAACCGGAGTCATTACAAGCTTCTCTTGACACAATTCACAGATCATAATATGTGCTGCTACAAAGGCTTTCAGAGGAAGCAAAAAGGATACAACCGTTGGAGAGGTAAATCTTCGTTCAGAACACGAAACACATAATTTTCATTGAAGTTAAAACCAAAGCATTGTTCTGAATTACTCATCTCCCTTCTCACAACTTTCAATGCAGCTTAATATGTTATATCTAGAAATCTGTAAATCTTGGATGATTTCGCCAGCTGGAATTACAGAGTTCACTAATATGTGTACAGTGCTAAACGATCAGGTAACTACTATTGCCGTCTTTAACTATTTTCTGATGGAGAAAAGCTTATGGGATACTTCATCTGTGAACTGATGATGATAGCTAAGACAAATGCAATAAAATCAATTCTAGAAAGACTTTCTCGAAAGAGTGATATTTGATCAAAAATGGGTTTTCTTGCTTCAGGGGATATTAAAATTCGGTCAAGCTCGTGGGGATAAGCCAAAGAGAGTTAGCCTGAGAGTAGACGAATCAGACATCACGTTTGCTCTGCAGGTAATCAGCTTTTTTTTTTTTTTTTTTTTTTTAATTTTTGCTAATCTTTAAAACTACTAGTAAACACTCTTTCGGGATAAAATTACTAAGTCTAAACATCAAACAACAGGAGATACGATTTTTCCGCAACTGTCTTGTGTGAGAAAAAAAACATCATTCGTACAAAGGAAAACATCTGGTGCAAACAATGGCCGACTAAGTTGTAAGACCATGGATAGTAAACTAATTGTACCATCAATTATTTTATTCGAACAGTTAGTGAACAATTTAATTACTTTTTCCTCATTAATTATTTATCATATGAATGTAGGGTCTCTCCACAATTTATTACTCATTCTTTTCCTCTGGGGGCGTGTGTGTGAGCTGTGAAAGACTGAAAGGAGTTGGTAAGTAGTGGGTTTAGTTTCTTTTTCCAGTAAAAGTGGTTAGCTTTTTCCCTCTCGTGCTGGACCTATCTCTTTGGTTTGGTGGTTTTATCATCAGCCTTCATTAAAGTGTTCTTGAAGTTTTTATCTTTTTGTGTAATATGTCATTGTTGAAGGTACAAGTTTGAGTTGCCTTTTCTGTACATATTATTTAACAGTCCAAAACAAAAATGTACATCAAATTTAACAGTTTCCTTCTTGATGTATAAACAAGCCTAAGATCTAAAGTTTTGGTTACGATGTGTTGAAAAAGGAGAAGTTGCGATCCTAATTCCCTTCTAGGGTCAATTAGTAAACTCGAGAGTTTAATCAATTATTCCATCTTTTTTAATTTAAGTGATGTTTAAGTTTTTTCATACAATAAAAGAATTTCAAAAATCTAATTTAATTTACTTTTTTTGCATAAAAACATAATTAACTGTAACTAATTCAACCAATTAAAAATATACTATAAAATATCAGTATTAGAAGTATTAAATATATTTATTTTTACATAAAAGTTGAAAACATTAAAGTGAAATAAGAAAAATCCTCTAACACATTTAAAATTAATGATACGTAAGTGAGTAGTTGGCAAAATGTGTAATTAATAGAGTAGTATAGTGCCTGCGTAGTGCCTGCGTAGTATAGCCATCAATCATTCGGTCATTTGTTTAAATATCAATAGAGAGATAAAAGTATTAAACACAGTGACAGAGAGAGAAGAAAGAAGAGGACGATGAAAGCAGAAGCAGAAATTATCTTTGTTACATATCCAGCCCCTGGTCATCTTCTTGTCTCCATCGAATTCGCTAAATCTCTCATCAAACGTGATGATCGCATCCACACCATCACCATCCTCCACTGGGCATTACCTCTCGCTCCTCAAGCCCACCTCTTCGCCAAGTCTCTCGTTGCTTCAGAGCCTCGAGTCCGTCTCGTTGCTTTGCCTGATGTTCAGAACCCTCCGCCATTGGAGCTCTTCTTTAAAGCCCCCGAGGCTTATATTCTTGAGTCCACCAAGAAAACAGTTCCTTTAGTCAGAGACGCTCTCTCCACTCTATTTACTTCACGTAATGAATCCGGTTCGGTTCGTGTCGTCGGTTTGGTTATCGATTTCTTCTGTGTTCCAATGATCCAAGTGGCAAACGAGTTTAACCTTCCTTCTTACATTTTCCTAACGTGTAACGCTGGTCTTTTAAGTATGATGAAGTATCTCCCTGAGAGACATTGCATAACTGCTTCTGAGCTAGATTTAAGCTCCGGCGACGTAGAACATCCAATTCCCGGCTATGTCTGCTCCGTGCCGACGAAGGTTTTGCCTCCAGGTCTATTCGTGAGTGAGTCATACAAGGCTTGGGTCGAGATTGCAGAAAAGTTCCCTGGAGCCAAGGGTATTTTGGTAAACTCATTCACATGTCTTGAGCAGAACGCATTTGATTACTTCGCTCGTCTTCGTGAGAGCTACCCTCCGGTTTACCCGGTCGGACCGGTTCTTAGTTTGAAGGATCGTCCGTCTCCGGACCTGGACCCATCGGACCGGGACAGGATCATGAGATGGCTCGAGGACCAGCCGGAGTCGTCAATTGTGTACATCTGCTTCGGAAGCCTCGGAATCATTGGCAAACCGCAAATTGAAGAGATAGCTCAAGCCTTAGAACTCACCGGCCACCGGTTTCTTTGGTCCATCCGTACAAATCCGACGGAGAAAGCGAGCCCGTACGATCTGTTGCCGGAGGGATTTCTCGATCGGACGGCTTGTAAGGGACTGGTGTGCGATTGGGCTCCGCAAGTGGAAGTGCTGGCCCATAAAGCGATCGGAGGATTCGTGTCTCACTGCGGTTGGAACTCCGTGCTGGAGAGTTTATGGTTCGGTGTTCCGATCGCCACGTGGCCAATGTACGCTGAGCAACAGCTAAACGCGTTCACGATGGTGAAGGAGTTAGGGTTAGCCGTGGAGCTGCGTTTAGATTACGTTTCGGCGTACGGAGAGATAGTAAAAGCTGAGGAGATCGCGGGAGCCATACGATCTCTGATGGACGGTGAGGATACGCCGAGAAAGAGAGTGAAGGAGATGGCGGAGGCGGCGAGGAAGGCTTTGATGGACGGAGGATCTTCCTTTCTTGCGGTTAAAGGATTCCTCGACGAGTTGCTCGGCGGGGATGTTTAGTTCTATTATAAACGTCGCCGTTGTGGCGTGTTTTGCTTTCAATCGTTTCTATTTGGTTTGGATTTGGTTAGTCGGTTTAAGCTTAGACATCAACTTGAAATAAAATTCCCAAGAAACTGAATCAGTCAAAGAAAATATGCATATTTCACATAACATATATAAGTTTATTAGTGAAAAGAGGAAATATATAGTTTCAAGTATATTCTCCAGGATCAGATATAATTAACTAAGCAATTTTTTTTCCGGTATCGAATAACTAAGCATGTTGAAATGATTGCACCAACATTTGCATTAACACGACGAACCATCTTCAAACAATTCTCCGATGAATCGAGCAGTTGCCAAAGACGACGATCCTTCATCCATCAAAGCCTTCCTTGCCGCATCAGCCATCTCCTTAACCTTCTTCCTCTTCTCATCCCCACCGTCCATCAAAGATCGGACGGCTCTGGCTATCTCATCACAAGTCACCAAACCCCCACGACTCGACACGTAATCCATCCGGAGATCCACCGCGAGCCCAAGCTCTTTCACCAGCGTGAAGGCGTTAAGCTGTTGCTCTGCGTACATCGGCCACGTGGCGACGGGAACGCCGAACCATAAGCTTTCAAGCGTAGAATTCCAACCACAGTGAGATACAAATCCTCCAATTGCTTTATGGGCCAATACTTCCACTTGTGGAGCCCAACCACATACCAAACCTCGGCCCGCTACTCGGCCCATGAATCCCTCCGGTAACACATCGTTAGCATTCGTCTCCACGGCGCCGCTTGTTCGAATCGACCACAGAAATCTGCAGCCGACGAGTTCCAACGCTAGAGCTATCTCCTTCACTTGCGGCTCATCAACACTTCCTCTGCTCCCGAAACAGAGGAACACCACCGATGACTCTGGCTGATCATCGAGCCACCCAACGATCTGATCTCGATCGGCTGCTTCTTCGTTCGGACTCGCTCGATCTTTCAAGCTGAGAATCGGTCCGACCGGGTAAACCGGAGGGAAGCTTTCCAGGTGAGAGAAATAGTCAAACGGGTGTGGCTCAAGCTCAGCGAAGGAATTTACCATAATACCCTTCGCATCGGCGAATCTCGGCGCTAGCTCGACGTAAGCCTCGTAAGCTTCTTTGTTGAACAATCCAGGCGGCATAAATTTGGTCGGAATAGCGTTTATGAATCCTGGAACAGGCAATTCCTCATCGCCGGAGTTCAAATCGAACTCAGATGCGATTTTCCGATGCCGATCCGGAATATATTTCATCATCCCCAAATATCTAGCGTTACACGTGAGGAATATGTAAGAAGGAAGATTAAGCTCGTTGCCAACATCATTTATCAATGAATTGCAAAATAAATCGAGAACCAAACCGGCGACTCGAACCGAATCGGATCCTCGACGACGCGACTCGACGATGCTGGAGACGGCGTCTTTGATCAGAGGAGTAGTTTTCTTGATGAGCTTTACTATGTAAGCTTCCGGAGCTCTTTGGTAGAGATCAAATGGAGGAGGATCTTGGGTAGAGGGAAGGTCATGGAGACGTATTTTGGGCTGTGAAGCGATGAGAGATCTGGCGAAGACGGAGGCGTCAGGAGCAGAGGGTGAAGACAAGTTGAGGATAGTGATTGTGTGGATCCGATGGTCGAGATTGATGAGACGCTTGGCAAATTCAATATGGACGAGAATATGACCTGTGGATGGAACTGGAACGAAGATGAGCTCTGTTTCCTTCACCATTTCTCTTGAGATATGTTTGATTTTAGACAAAGTGGGAAAAGCACCACAAATGTGGAAATGTTGTTAAGGATGTGTGTCAGTGGTGTCGTGAGAGACTGTGAGTCTTTGATTCATGGGAGTTCTGTTTAATTGCAAAACCAGTCCTTACCAAAAAGAAATTTCTAAAATCCATCATAAAATAATTAAATTTTGTGAAAATGAGAGAAATGTTGGTCATCCATCTACACCAACAAAATATAAGACATGGAGATATTCGTGAACTATAAAGAAAACATGTTGTCTTGATCCCAAAAAAAAACATCTTGAAAGATGAAAAAAATTGGTTGTAATTTACTTTAAAAGTACATCATGTGAGTGTTAGAATGTGGTTTGTAATTATGGTATGTTGTGTTAAGGTTTTCAGTTACAAAATTGTCTGTTTCTTAGATGATTATAGAAATCACCATACATTACACTTTTGTATGGAGCTTACTCAAAGATAACACTGCAGTGTAAAAAAAAAAAAAAAAAAAAAAAAGTTATTCCTTCCGTTTTAGTTTAGTTGTCAGTTTAGGATTTAAATTTTGTTTCATAATAGTTGTTGTTTTAGGTTTTCAATGCAAATGTTTGTTGAAAATTCTAGTTTTATCTCTACTGTTTTAATGTTTTGGTTAATGAAATTTTTATAAAATATATTAATAAAGAATAAAACAGAAAATTTAATGACTTTCTTATTATTTATCGGACTCTTGGTCTTATAGCACAAATGGCGTTTATTAACATTTAGTACACGATAAATTGATAAGATTTGTTTATTTATTACAAATTACATAATTATTTTGCTCCGAAAGAGAATGATCAAAAGTGATCCCCAAGAATATCTCTGATAAAAGTTCCTGTGGCCACCATAGAAGATCCACCATCACCAACAGCTTTCCTTGCCACTGCTGATATCTCTTTAACCTTCTTTCTCACAGGGTTACCACTATCCATCAATGATCGGACGGCTGTGGCTATTTCATCGGCTGATACAATCTCCAAAGTAACTCTATCACCGTCCGCCACGTAATCAAGCCTTATCTCCACGGCTAAGTCCAGCTCCTTCACCATCTCAAATGCGTTCAGCTGTTGCTCCGCATACATCGGCCACGTGGCAATTGGTACACCGTACCATAGACTCTCCTGTACAGAATTCCACCCACAGTGAGATACAAATCCACCTGCTGCCTTATGGGCCAAGATATCCACTTGAGGAGCCCAACTACACACAATCCCACGGCCCATCGTTCGATCAACGAATCCTTCTGGAAGCGGCTCGTGGGGATCGCCGTCTCCCGCCATATTCGTACGGATCGCCCAGATGAATCTGCACCCGATGAGCTCGAGCGCCTTAGCAATCTCTGTAATCTGAGGTGCAGGGAGGACTCCCATGCTCCCGAAACACAGGAACAAAACCGACGAGTCTGGTTGCTCGTCAAGCCATTTCATCATCTCTTCGTATTGGGCCGATGCTAGACCCGGATTTGTACGGCCCGTTAAGTTGAGAACCGGCCCAACAGGATACACGTGAGGGTAATCTCGTCCTCGAGAAAAATGTTCAGCAGCATAAGGCTCGACTTCGGCAAACGAATTGACCAAAATACCCTTGGCTTGATGTAATCGCTCGCCAATTTTGACCAGAGACCCGTAAGAGAGTTTGTCGAACACACCAGGCGGCAGAACCTTGGCGGGAACACGGTTCACGAACGCCGGAATCTGTAACTCTTCTCCAGCGGAGCTCTCATAGAACTCCGACGCAGTAAAACGATGTCGTTGCGGGAGATACTGTAGAACCCCTAAGAAACCGAAGTTGGAAGTCATGAAAATATAGGAAGGAAGGTTTACCTCATGGCCAATATCGATCAAACCGACGCAGAAGAAATCAAGAATCAAGCCGGCGACATGACAATCATCTCCGGAAGATGATGATGAGACTAAATCTTGGATGGTTTTTCTGAGACAAGGTATGTTTTTATCGACGAAATCGAGGATGTAAGTCTCGGAGGAAGTGTCAAGAAGCTTAATCGGAGGTGGATCGTGGATCTCCGGAAGACTGATGAGTCGGATTCCAGGCTCGGAGGCTGTGAGCGAAGCAAGAGAAGCGTCGGCGTGAGGAGCGTAAGGGAGATTCATGGATAGGATTGTAATCATGGAAATCCTACGGTCTAGATTGAGCAGACGCTTTCCAAACTCGACCGTGGACAAAAGATGGCCGGTCTCCGGCAGAGGAACGAATATGAGCTCAGCTTTCTTCATCTCTATACTTTTTTCTCTGTGTGTTTTCTATTGAAGAAAATGAAACGCTGTTTATTTGGAATGAACGATATGGTGGTAGTGGAGTCCGATGTATTAAAAGTAGAAACAAACAAGAAAAACTGATTGGTGCACAAAAAAAAAAAAAAAAAAAAAAAAAACAAGAAAAACTGATTATAATTAATTAGGCTTTGACTGTCAAATATTTTAACTCAAAAATAATATCTTAATTACTCCATTATAATCTCTTGCTCTCAGAGATTCAGATATGTGTATGTCTGTATGATGTGTAATAGAATCCAAGGGGGAAAAAAGTAAGAGAGACAATTATTACGATTTGACGGTAAAAAAGAGTAGAAGAGATATCTACTGGACTTGAACAAAAATTGAAGTGGAAGACAGCGAGTTTTATTCTCTCTTTCTTTGGACAACAAAAGTGGAACAATGATTTGGCAAAAATCTTTAAGCCCCTTAGTTTAGTTAGTATTAGTTGTCTAGACATCAGATCAATAGGTTTAGTAGAAGAATTAGTATGTACTGTGTCTTCTGGTGACCCTATGTTTTTTGACTTTGTACATGATTTAGATACGAATGTGATGTTATGTAAATGTCGTGCACCCGACAAAACAACATTTATGTTTTTCCATTCATCAAGTTTTGCAAATATTGACTGCAATTACTTTTTTAATCGAGGTTTTTGTTTATTACTTTATTTGACTTGGTATCTAGTTTGGGATTTTCTTGACCAAAAGTCAAACGTAGTTTAAGATAGTTTTTATGTTTTGAAAAGGAATGTTAAATAATAAGCCAAAGGGGACTTTTTTCGGCTTCATCGCTCTCATCGCTTAAATCTCATGGTATCTCCATTGTTATTCTTCAAGTATATGCCTTTTGCTCCTCTCTCAACACCATTTCTCTTCTAAACCCTAGAAAAACTCTGCAGAATTTTACCCTTCTACACTGAGCCGTTTTCCGGGTCCAAGGTCACCGGGAAATGGCTTTCCGGCAAGTATCTACCACTGTAATTCTCTTCTGCTACTTACTAATTTCATCTCAATCTCTAGAATTCAAAAAACCCCACAAGATCGAAGGACCAATCAAGACTATAGTCGTT